GGAGGGAGAGCCTTCAGTTTTCAGGCCCCTCTTCTATGGAACCAGCTTCCAGTTTGGATTCGGGAGAAAGGCACTATCTCTACTTTTAAGATTCTGCTTCAAACTTTCCTTTTTGCTAAAGCATATAGTTAGGGCTACCCTTAGTAATGCTGCAATAAGCTGCTGGGGGTTTCCCATGATGCACTGAGTATTTCTTTGTCACTCACTATGTTACCTCTCTGCACTGAATCACACTTGTTATCAATCTCTGGCTGTCTTCCACTGCATGTATTTTGTCCTGCTTCCTTCTCTCACCCCAACTGTTTGCGGCAGATGGCCGCCCCTCCCTGAGCCTGGTTCTTCCGGATGTTTCTTCCTGTTAAAAGGGAGTTTTTCCTTCCACTGTTGCTAAAGTGCTTGCTCATAGGGGGTCATATGATTGTTGGGTTTTTCTCTGTATGTATTATTGCAGGGTCTACCTTACAATATAAAGCACCTTGAGGTGACAGTTGTTGTGATTTGCCGCTGCATAAATAGTCAATTCAAATCAAATCAATTTATTTATATAGCACTTTTCACAGGATAAAAACCATTTATTTTTTTTATAAAAAATAAAATTGAATTGAATTCAATTGGATCTTGAGAGTGGACTAAAATTTTGTTTTACACGTTTGTATAATGTATAATGTTTGTATAATTGTTCTGTATAATTTTGTATAATGATAAGCATCTTATCTGGTCTATAGATTGAGATCACTTGATGCCAGATATGAGTGGGGGTTGAGGCGTCTGGGAAGGGATCTCAAAACAGCACTGTAGGTGATGTCAGTTGTAGGCAATGTCAGTTGTTCTAGTAAGCCCTCTGTTCATTGATTGTTCACAGTCAACATAGATCGGCTGTCTCACTCAACGAAGGGGTATGATTGCGACATCAAGAAAAAAAATATTATTGATCATTTTGAGAATAATGTTGATGTTCTGAAACAGCGTAGCACATTTTGAATTGCATCAGAATAATTCATACACTATGAAAGGTCAGTCTGACCGGATAATAAATGGACTGTGGACCTCCATTATGATGCGGCGCTCAGAGAAGATATGACCCTGCTGGGTGGGGTCCACGATGTGATGTTCCTTTAACACTAATGAT